CTGTCTTCAGAGTTCCGTATTTAAATATCAACTAACGGAGCGTCGTTGTCCAGTAATTAGCAATCTGCTTCTTATTATGGCGGTCCTGGGTTGGAAAAGGCCTAGAGATCGTCTATCGTGTGTGAGTTTTCATGGGTTTTATCAGCCTCTCCAGGACAATCCTAGGTTAAAACACAAAAAGCCACAACTGCTCCCCCTCGCATCCATTCCTTTTAACTGTACTGTAATTCTAGAGCATAGGGTATCCGTGATACGCCATTTTACTTTAGTTTCTTTAATTCTATTTATAGTCTGTAGGACTCCTTGCTCGGGGATCAGCCTGTCGCAAGACCGCTACATACTCAGAACAACATAAACAGAATAAACGCAGAAAGACATCCATGCCTGGAATGGGATTCGAACCCACGATCTCAGTGTTTGAGGAGACGAAGACATTTCATGCCCTAGACGGCGCGGCCTAGTTCCTTTTACTGCTAACTTTTAATTCTAGAATTGGACCCCGAATGGTCTTAAGTTATTGACAGTTTGCCAAATAATCCGCAAATATATGGAAGTAAGCAAGCAGTTATAGGGTGTACAATAGTCAATTTCCTTAATAAATCTTATATGATAATAGCCACAGATCCACTGCTTCCAGAGGCCTATTATATGGATCATGTATCATTTAAAGCACAATGTTAACTGTATGTGCCAGTTGGTTTAACACTAAAATACACATCACACTTTTCGTACAATAGATTTATGTAGTTCTTACGATTCCCACAACGTACAGACACGATTTCTCTGCTCAATATTACGTATCGTATTATCGAATTTACCCATAGATCGTCCTAATGGTCACTTTACTTCAAGTTTCCCAATCAAAATTTTGTGGCCTCTTCACTTTCCTTCCATGCATGCATCATGTTCGTCCATTTCATCCGCCTTGGTTTCGTCACTAGTATTATTTGACGAGGAGTACAAAGAATGAATGAATGAATGAATGAATGAATGTATGAGGGGTAGACCTCGGCCCTTGCACCGCGATCTCAGTGGTCTGTTATGCTTACGAGGATTAGAAACTATTGAGCTCGTCACTCAGTGTTCTCAAGCCTCCCGTTACTTCATCCCTCACAGATCAAAATATTCCCCTTAATACTCTGTTCTGAAACAAGAGTAATATGCATTCTTCTCTTAACGTGCGAGACTAAGTTCCATACTCATACAAAAGTACAGGAAAAATTATAGTATTCTATGTTTAAATTCACGTCTTTGTGTAGCAGATAAGGAGATAAAAGATTAAGAATTTATTGGCAGTAAGAATTCCTCAAAATTCATGTGATCTTTATTCCTTCATGCAGTTTTGACCACTATATATAGGGGACGAGGTAGCGTAGTCGTTTGAGACACTATGCTACAAGCCAGAAGGTCGCGGGTTCCATTCCCGATGATGTAATTAGATTTTTCAACTGACTTAATCCTTGCAGCCGCACTTATAGCCCTAGGGTCGACGCAACCTTTAACAGAAATGAGTTAACAGGAATCTTCCTGGGGAGTAAATGTTGGCCAGTGCGTGAGGCTGACAACCTCGCCGCCATCTGTGAGCCGATTGTCTAGAAAATGTGGGAGCCTCGACGTCTCACAACCCTATGGGCCTCCACGCTTATTACGTTGATGCTAAACTAATTCAAAGCAAGATTCGTAAATACTCCACGCCAGTTTTGTCTTTTTCGAGTAAGCAAATTAGATCCGTGTGATTTAACGACTCACAATATATAAGGATACCCAAACGGGTAGTTGTCCAACAGCCGTCATAGTATTTCAGTGGGTTGCCAATTTGCATTGATGTTTACGCTTATGCAGGAAATGAATGCGGGCTATTTCAAACAAAATTGTAAACGTGAAGCGGACCATGTAATGTCCGTACTGCTCTGTCTTCAGATATATATTTTCAATAGCGAAATAATGGGGTTCGGTTTTGTACAGAACTCCTTTTAACCTCTGATGAAATTCGCCTCTTGAAGAGAAATTTGGAGTGCTCTAATTAATGCTTTCTCGTTTATTGGCGATTGAATACCAGTTCTAATTCTGTTTTTTGTTTCTGCCTTCCATTTCCTAATTAAAACTTCAGGTAGGCCACACAGAATGGAAGATTAAAATGCCTTACGACATCTGACAGTTTTGAGATTTCAGTTTATAAGAGCAATAAAGTTTTGGTTAGTCTGGTAGGTGGGTATGAAAGTTTATACGGAACGTACTGACGCCAGCTTCAGGACAGAAGACCCCAAACACATAATCTCGTACTAATACCAATTGACATAATTGGAAGAGGTTAATACACAATTATGACGTTTCCTGGACCGGTAATTTTACGGTACTGATAAGGGCAATCAGAGAGATTACCCATTTTTTTCAAAGCAATTCCGCCAGCTAACTGTGTTCCTATTGGCAGTAAAATATACGAGAACATTGACTCCAAACTCCATGGCTTTAGTCCGCAAGCGAACTGTACTGACCGACCTGACATTATTATTATTATTATTGTTTTTCACAAGAAGTAAAAATTGTGTCTAATTAAAATTTCCCGAACTACTTTCATAGGTGAAACAGCAAAGATTTGCACCAACAACATGTTTATAATTGATGTAACATTGACCGTATTTTGTACAGAATTTTTGGGTAAGACTAAGAACTATCTTTGTACCACATGTCATGTACCTGGATCTAATACGAGAGTTCATCACAGGTTAATATAAAATAAAGAGCTAATTTATAAAGCTGCCATTTTGTTGATATGTTCTCCAAAATGAATGTACGGAAAATCTGTATATTTTTCAATGCTCCATAACGACATATCATTTCAGGACCCTAAATTATGTGGCGCTAGCCAGTCACAGTAGCCGCGCGGTCTAAGGCATTAACCGTCTTCGTTCGCTCGAACACTGTGATCTTGGGTTCGAATCACATTCAAGGCATAGATGTTTGGTGTGTATATGGGTTTATTCTGTGTTTGTGCTGTCCTGTGTGTAGGTAGCGGTCTTTCGACAGGCCGATCACTCGTCCAAGAAGACCTACAGTCTGTGAAAATGATATCGGAACTGAATAAGAGGCCTCGGCCTTGAATAGGTTAGAAGAACCATTGAAAATATATATAGCTCTAATGTCGCTCAAATTTCAGGACTATATACTACCGCAATGTAGCATTTTAAAAAGCAACGGATTTGGATAATCCCCAACGAAAGTTCTTCATATCCGTAAAAGCCTGTCAGTTGTTTCTAACGTTGACAGAGAACAGAGACGGGAACTCACAGACAATACCGTACTCTCACAAATCTACTCTACTTTCGGAACAGAAATAGGTTAACAAAGTATTTACAGGGGAACGGTGTCTCTCAGTTGTTTCTCATTAGTGTCCTTATATCCATCTCTGAATTACGTATGTCCAAACTATCCTGAGCGCATTATCTGGGATGAATGTCTTCTCCACAGCGTGCTTCCCCCTTCAGATGGTCGGAATTCCCTTTGCTTCTTAATCTCCAAATGCCTACCGCTGGCAACTTCTGAAACAAAGCATCTTTCTCGGTACGGTACTGGGAAATATATAGCACCTGTGGGAAAACAGGTGACTTCAGCTGCACAGAGTATCGTGTGGTGCTACACTCGCTGGAGGGCCGCTCGAAGATCTTAGCAAACGGCTTGCATCCTCCTTCAGACTCGTTTGTAGGTACGTCTTGTAGAAGACTTTATATTTTAAAATGGTTTATTGGATAATACAATTCCTCTATACATTTCGTGCTGGATTCAGCGTAGTCATATGCACTGCTTACTAGAAGTTGAGAGGCTCAGTTGGTCAACAAAATTTCCCCGGATTTTGTATTACTGTAACCGATGGGGGAGACGAGGAATGCATATAGGATATTGGTGGGAAAGCCAGAAGGAAAGAGACCGCTGGGAAGACCAAGCCGTAGTTTGGTGGACAATACTAAAATGGATCTTAGAGGGATAGGATGGGATGGTATGGATTCGGTTGATCTGCTTCCGGGTAGGGATTAGTGGAGGACTCTTTTGAACACGGTAATGAACCTTCGGGTTGCATAAAATGCTGGGAAGTTCTTGAGTAGTTGCGCAGTTGGCAAATTCTCAAGGAGGGCTCATCTCCATGGGTGAGTGAGTGAGTGAATATTAAAGTATCCAATTCTTATTTCACTCTAAACACGCAGTACCTCCATTACAAAACCAGCCGGTTAATGCTGTTTAAGGAATAAAGTAGTGTCTTGTCTGAGAATGACATGAAACATAAATGCATTGTGTGAGCGAAATAGAGAGCTTTTATTATTAAAGCAGGCAGTATGTATTCTTATAATAGCCACTGCAATTCAAGGCAAGCTGTGATATTTCAGCGAACTATATTTCAGAAGCTACCACCCTCCGTCCGGGCACTTTCTCTTGTCTGGAGCCTTAAATACTCCACGGAGCTCACGTATTCCTTGGTTACGTTAAATGCGTATAAATATTCAAGTTATATGGGGTTTAACCCCTGCTATTACCTGGTCTCACGAATTATTTATTGAGGTAGCAAGTAGTTGCAATTCAGCGAGAAGAATAGTTTTCGGTTCGGGCAGAGTTCCTCGCTTCCCTGCCCTCAATTAATGAGAACTGTCAAGCTCAGATCCTGTACATGATGGCACGTTTCGTATCATCCAAGTGTAATTTACGGAAGCATGGAAGGGAAAGAAAAAAAAGCAGCGGAATAAGAACGGAAAATGAAAAGCATACAGAGATTGACCAGAGAAAGGCGACCGAAAGAAGTAAAAGAAGAGACCAAGAGATGAGAGAAATGCTGATTGTGAGAGTTTAGTTGCTAATGTCTTATTTAGCGACCTTTCTGTACCTCAGAATATGTAGCGAAAATGGAAGATGGAAATGATGAATTGGAAGGAATGTGAAAGGAAGTGGTCATGTTCTAGTTGAGTTACCTGGCCGGAATTTCCCTGGAGGTACTAGAAACAATCACGAAATACCTCAGTGAGGATAGCCGGTGTCCAACGGAGATCTGACCGGCGCCTCCCAGATGCTAGCGCTATGGTGACACCAACCTGCTCGGTGAGAGAGAATAGAATTAGGAAACATAAAATGAGATGAACTTGTCCTTGTGTTTAATTACTCACTTCGTCATAAATACCCTGGCACTGAATGCAAGCGAACGACCAGCTATACGCCCCGGCCGCTTTATCCACAAGGAAAGAGCCCCAGTAACAACTGAATAGGAAGCGGCGTGGCCCTAGAGTCGTTCTGATCTCTGTGAAGAGAGACTCGAACCAAGATCGTTTAGTTGCCCACTCAGTAGCTTAGTCACTCCACCAGCTGAGTTGTCAGGAAACAAGTCATGACTAATTTGTAACTCTATAGTAGAGTTTCGAAACTTCGGGTTCCATAAAATGCTGGGAAAGTCTTGAGTAGCTGCACATTTGGCGGCTCTTCAAGAAGGGCTTAGCTCCATAAGTAAGTAAGTAATGAATAATAGTATAGTTTCTCCGATATATCAATTGTTCAGGTTACTTCCAGCTTGGAGGCACTCCTAAGCTCACGACCGTACTCAACTAAAACTGCTATTGGATTTATTTCGGAAAATTTAGCACCGTGTTAAATAAAACTGCGTTGGACTGAAGTCTGAATGATGCAATTTATTTCAAATCTTTTCCAACTAATTTTAGGATCTGCTGTCGCTACGCCCGTGTACCCACAATTCTCCTTGGGCTTCCATAGGACCTCTTCCGGTGCGCGTTTCCCAGCGTCTGTTTTCTGTTGCAATCCGTTCTCATTCTTTCCTCTTCTTATCTGCCGCTAGAAATTTCGTGCACTTAGGAGCGTGAGAGAACCTGAAGGTGCAACATTTTGTTTGAAGAAGCAACCAGACTGTAAATCTGCAGCCCGAACCGCAGCGACCACATTTTGTGTGTGCGTTTTTTTGTACCTTGACATTCTGAATTCGACTTAGAATGTACGAAAGTTTAAAATGTTTAAGAATTGGTTAACTGCGGTTAATTTGGTTCAGTATTCTTGCCACGGTTCCTGTTGATAATATCCTTAACACGCTGCCTTTGGTTACCCTGGTTAGGCTTACACTTAATTACCACGATTTAATATTATCACAAGTCTTAAATCCAATCATTCAGTCCAGTTGATGAAATCTGACCAATTCTGACACCAAAATGTTACGTGTTCGGAGTTTGTGTGACGAATATAACGAGTTATGGATTAAAAGATTGGATTTATTGGCATTCCTTTACAATTACAGCCAATTATAACAGCTCACACATTGAACTCCTCCTGAATTACGAATGACTCTCCTTAGCGTACTCATGTGTCCTCCCTTCTATAACGCCGGGAGAACCGAATTGAAATCACCATTTCACAGTTCACGTTAATGCATGCTTATCCTCTGCTGCGTGAATGGTGTGTTAATTCCATAGCAACGTTTCGGTTTCGCTATTCCAGCTTCAGGCAGTGCTTACATAACCGTTGCCTAGCAATGGTCATATTAGTAACATTGTCATTCCGTTAGTGCCGGTATTTTTGTTCTCACCTCGCACATGAAAGCGCCTACCACGTTTCTGTTGATGATAATGGGAAATTAGAAAGTGCGAATTTTGTGTTGCTTCTAGTGGCATAATACTCACACCAGTTTCTGCCTTATCTGTGTTTCGGGTGTAGAGTCAGTGCCAACTGTTGTGTAACAATCGAACTTCACATAGGTGGCAACGGTCAGGGAGAATCTGTTACGCGACAGGTTGGTAAACAAGTTCCCGCGAAGAGAGATTCTTGGTAAACAATCCGTTGCTACGATACGCAACAATAGCACGAATGTTTATACCTCGTTGTTAGGCAAAAATCAGCGCACTAATGGATTGGCGAGATAGCTATCAAGTGACTTATTCAGTGTGGTCCGCGCCATGCCCACTGCTAAGTAACAGAACTGTAAATATGTCTACAATAAGAGGTGTCTTCCATGGGGTCCGTGTCAAAGGTTTATAGGGGATTCTTTTTTGTTACTAGTGGGGTGGGACTAAGTCCCTTGTACTGCGGCCACTTCTGGCATATTGTACCAGCCCCAGATGATACGTGAGGGTGATTGTGGAGCAATTGGTGGAATGAAGATTGGAAGGGGAAACAAAGTACTTGGAGAAAACCTGCCCCAGCGCCACTTTGTCCAACACAAATCTCACTTGTCCAGACCCGGGATCGAACCCGGGCCGCCGCGGTGGAAAGTCAGCGACTAACCGCTTGAGCTATGGCGCGGCCTTTTATAGGAGACAATGAAGGTCGTTTTTGCAGTGAGTCGTAGATGAGAAGCAGTGAGTCAAGGACACGAAGCAGTCACTGTAAAGAGTTGAGATGGGCTCAGCAGTTGAGGGTACAAGGACGAGAATGGAGCGTGTCCTTAGTGAATTGTAAAGATTAGTTGAGTACAGATTAGGACAGAGGAGTACAGAGTAATTGAAGACGAAATAACAAGATGAGTTCATAGTAATTTGAAGCTCAAGTTTCTGCGTTGAGATCCGTTGCCAGGAGACGACTCGTGAAAACAGAGAATCCTGGTGCGTGTGCAATGGTCAACTGGAAATTGTGTAAATCAGCGATAGCGCTGTATTAATTGTAATTAAGTGAGAGTGTAACCGAAGTGCTAATAAATCCAGTCATCCGAACTAGAGCCCGTTAACTTAGTCAGGCGTACACCATACAAGTGACATTACAGAGGGACAAGCTCTGTACAATGGCATGCAGTGCACTTGCTGCTTGAGGAAGACGATATGTGTGGAGACCTAAGAGAAGAAAGATAGAAGGGTTGAAATTCCTAACCACGTAACTGGCTTCAAGCAGTCAAATCTTAAGCAGTAAGAGGTACGTGGTCAACGAATTTAGATGCAAGACTTTTAGTCATGTTGTGGGCAAAATTAATAATAAAAGTTCAGGTTGTGATCCCGCATAGTCTAGTAGGCCGGTAGCAGCATTTCGGAGGGACATGTTTTCCTCTTTCGAAACATATATTTTTGCAAGGAGTTAACGATTTTCTGAGACATGGCACGATGTAATTCAATCGATACGTTCCTCAGAGATATTTATGCATATCTGCAAAATTTCACGGCGTCGCTGAACGAGTTGACCGTAGCGGTATCACTTCTGCCTTGCATTTGGGAGGTTTTCGTCTCGAACTTCAGTTTAGACACCAACTATGTAAAGAGGATTTTTGTGGTTTTCCTCAAGCAATCCAGGCAACTTCTGGGTAGTATTTAGATTAAGCTACGACCTCTTCCATCTAGATACTTTTCAATTCATCATTTATCAATAACCCTAGCATCCACACTGTGTAATTTCGATATAGAAGCATTAATTAAATAACCCCAAAGGAGACCATCATCTGAGATATAGGCAGCATCCTCACATGAAACGAAGTAAAAAAATAAAAATTCCCTGAGTCAGTCTGAGAAGACTTCTACCTTAATTTGGAACTAAGTCGCGCCCTCAGGTCTGTTTGGTTATTTAGTTGGATGGCATGATATGAGGACCTCCCCTCACAGATCTCATTGCGCTAATGTGAATACGGAAAATGTCACACAGCTCTACCTTGTGACGTCTGTGTGACGTCATGCACATACAAGTTGGCAGCGTAACTGCAGACCACAAAACTTCACAATTTAAATTCATTACATTTCAAGTCAGTCTTGCTTTCATTCACAGAGTGCAGCACCGGTGTGACGATATGTCGTTGCTGTTTAATTAATGAAAATTGCGTTACAGTCTGTCCCTGAGAAGTTGTTGATTTAAAAACTGCTTACAGCGCCACTAAGTCATATTTACGGCGGTTTGCAATTGAACAAAACGAGAAAGTTGCAGGAGAATCACCCACCGAAAGCTTTTGCCTGCTCCCGCATTAAATTAGCTCTTCAAAGAGAAGGGTCTGACGATTCTCTCTCTCTCTCTCTCTCTCTACTAAATTGGATTACTTCCTCGTGCCTAAAACAGTCATCGCACTTTGATGGAAGAAGCAGCGGGAATTGAATTTGGTCTCGAAAATGCGAGTCAACAATATATAGGTGTGCCGTAGTCGGCGCGAATCTGCGCGCTTCATCTTCACATCTTCACTACATGCCGTTCCAGCTGAAGTAAATACTGTCGTTGAAAACATCGCCCCAGGTGCACTATCGTTTACTTCTAGTAGCTAAGCTAGATAACTTGTATTGTATTGTATTGTATTGGAGAGGGTGGGTTTCCCCATGCACTTAGACCAACTGTTGGTCCATTGTGCGTCCCCCTATGATATTCTACCAGTCTCTATTCCCTACCGGTACTGGCGCGTGTCATCAATCCAGACTCAGCCAGCGAGTTCGGCCTCTACTGGCTCAGCGGTATCTCGATGCTTCTCCCATCTACCAGAGGCGTTAGAGACTACTGTTGGGCGGGAAATGTCCTGAATTTGGCTCAGTGGTCCCCTTGGGACATGAGGTTCTTTTACGTGCAGTAAAGCTACAACACGGGACCCACGGCTTAAAGTTCCTCCCGGAGGACTTGTTTCCTGAATTTTTCCGCCCTTAAAAATTCCACGACCTCCGCCGGGTTTAAACCCGCGTACCTTGAGTCATGAGGTGGGAACGTTACCCCTAGACTACGGAGGCCGCTTAGATAACTTACACTACACTTGACCAGAGACGTAATGCCTGCCATTTCTGTTCAGATGTCATTTTCTTATGGATCTCCAAGCTCATTGCACTGCTTGAACGTTAGAGATTAACGGTTAAAGGAAACGTGTGTTATTTCATACACTGCTCTTCCATTACTTAATGTTTTGTTGTTATTTACTGTATGGGGTACGCGGAACCCCAGTCCCACCATTTCATAATAGCAAGTACTGCAGAAGTACAAATGCATGTTTTAAGTAGGTGACCTAAATACGCAATTGTGTTTAAAATGACAGCTGAAGACATGGATACTTTGTTGGCCGTCTCATCTTCAGACAGAAATAATATTTTTCACGCACAATATATTCAATTATCAATGCAACTATTTTCACTTCTGTTTTTCCTCCTTAACGACATAT